GTAGCGTCGGCGCCGGTTCAAGTCGGACAAAATTTCTAACCGGTATGCACTGCTTCAAGTCAGCCGCCGATCGGTTTGCGCGGCGCTGCATGAAGTCGAACGCACCTAATGTGTCATGTGGTGATTGGTTGCTTTAGTCATGTGCCTCGTTTCCCATCGGTTGGATTGTATCATGTGACCCTAATTGTTTGGTATATATAGCCCTCATGTAGCCTTTAGGCTACACTAGCCTACCACCGGCTGGTGAGAGCAGCCGCTTTCAGTCGGGGCGGAATTAAAAGAGGAGACGTCAAGTCGGACACTTTCTGCTCCCGGTAGTGACGCTTCTCACGGTGTTTGCATACTCTTATCACAGATAAATTGAATTAAATGCAATATTGTCAAATACACAGAAAGGTTTTTATGAGCAACAGAAACACTTTTTATATGCTGCTTAATACAGCGTCATCTGTTCAAGAATAAAGTTCAGTATAAACATATAGGCTACTAAATACCAATGAAGTGGGGGTATATTAGGGCTGGGCGATATGGGCAAAAATTCATATCTCTGTATTTTTTGGCCGATTTGCGATATACGGTATATATCTCGGTATTTTCGTTTTTGTATTTGGATTAAAAAAATCAGTATTTAATATATATATATTTCACTTACCGCCCAATGTTGTCCAACAAAACAATACATATTAAAGGCTATGAAAACAAATAAAGTGAATGTAACCATGTAAGCCTTTATATTATGTGCAAAAAAGGGTTAATATCACATTTCATTCTAACATTGTAACAGTGCAATCTAAAAACAAAAATAAGGCTTTTCAAGCGGAAGTTAAATTCACTAAACTAAAAATTAAAATAAATGAGGACAAAAGCACAGAGTTGTGTTAGGCTATTTTGATTAACCCATTACAGTCACTTTACAGTCAGTGCTATCATAAAAATAGACTTACTTGTAGGTTTAAAATTCTACATGTCACATTTATTGTCCAACTACAAATATTTCAGCGAAATGTATATTTTAGTCAGAATTATTGCACTCCTATTTAATTGAGCTCTGTCTGTTTGGCGCGCACAGGTCCAAGTCTGTGAAGTTTAGCGGAGAATCCCAAAGCAGAAGGCTCATGCACTTCTGACAGAAAAATGGAAATATTTCCATGGCTTTCCAACATTTACAGATGGAGAATATACCTGTGAAATGTAAGTTATGCATTCAGGAAGACAGCACATCTTAAACACATTAAACAGCGCGAGTAGCCTAGTGCACACGCAGCCTTTCTTTCAGAGCACATGACGGGCCGAGCCACTTAAATTAATATGCGAAATGAAACTATAAACAATGTCTTACCAGTTTTTAAAGGCCTCAATATGAAGCTTGTCACATGTTTAGAACAAATTGGATTATGCACTTTCTCCGCAGCAGCTCAGTCTGTGTCCTCCGCTATATTTTCAGATGCGCTCGTATCAAACTACTGTATATCGATATAAACTGTATTGCCTCATATCGAATCGCTTATAAAGAAAATATCGATATATCGTACAAACTCGATATACCGCCCAGCCCTAGGGTATATATGCTTTTATCAGTGTTTTTGATCAAAATGACTCAAGATAACAGTGCGACTACACTAAAAAAGCTTTTACTCGTATAAAAACAGATTTGTGAGCATTATTGAAATCGAATTGTTAGAATAAACACGCAACACACGTCGTGCTTGTCATCACAGAATCTGACCAATGAGAATAAAGTGTGTAGTCATCAAGGCTCTCGCAGCCGATTTTAAGCAACTGCAGCGCCTGACCTCGGCGGCTGGTCTCGTTTTGCTCTCGCGGTACTTTGATGGCACATGGCGGCTTCAGTGCTGATCAAAGTCGGACAAATGTTCTAAACAGAATGCATTGCTTTTGTCAGGCGGCAGCCAATCTTTGCGAGTCGAACAAGCCTTTTGTCTCTTGTTGTGTATTGATGTTGTAACCTGCTGTCTGTGAGTCAAGTCTGTTCATGCCAAGTCGAGTCTCTGTTTGGATTATGTTTGTATTTTGGATTACTTTTGGAATAAAGCTGCACTTGGGTTCTTAAACTAGCCTTCAGTGGACCTATTGTTACAAGAGGTTTACAGTTCAAATTAAAACATGGATGAAAAATATTGTGTGATATTCCTTAAAAATGTTTTAATAAACTGTATTATTATTTTTGTGTTCATTCTACTGTGCATTACTAATACTATATTTCTGTCATAATTTCTTTATTTTGGCAGTTTGTCAGTTTCTGTGTGTATATGATATGATGATAGTTTTCTCAAATGAAATGGTGAAATTCACTTCTCACGACTCTCAGAGCAGCTCTGGAGATGAAGTTCACGTGTTCATGTCCTCAGATAGTGAGACGGCAGACTTTTTCTTTTTCTCAGGAGAAACTCTGAGAAGTAGGTCCTGCTCAAAAGTTTCCATTTGCTCATTAAGCCCCATTTTGCTCTAGAAGAGACTTTAAAAGAGATGTAATTTGTAATATTTCTTTCATATGTGTGATATTTTATCCTACAATTAGGGTCTGATGAAAGTTTTACATATTAGTTCTAGTGATGGGCAACGCAATTAATCGCATCCAAAATAAAAGTTTTTGTGTGCGTAATATGTGTGTGTATATTTATTGTGTATATATATAAATACACACACATGCATGTATATATAATATAGTGATGGGCAACGCAATTAATCGCATCCAAAATAAAAGTTTTTGTGTGCGTAATATGTGTGTGTACTGTGTATATTTATTGTGTATATATATAAATACACACACATGCATGTATATATAATATAATTATATACATGTAAATATTTTCAAAATATATACTGGTCTGATGAAAGTTTTACATATTAGTTCTAGTGATGGGCAACGCAATTAATCGCATCCAAAATAAAAGTTTTTGTGTGCGTAATATGTGTGTGTACTGTGTATATTTATTGTGTATATATATAAATACACACACATGCATGTATATATAATATAATTATATGAATATAAATATATACATGTAAATATTTTCAAAATATATACTGTATGTCTGTGTCTTTATATATACATAATAAATATACAGTACACACACACACACACACACACATATATGAACAAAAACTTTTATTTTGGTTGTGATTAATCGTTGCCCAGCACTAGTCAGTTCCACGTTATTTTAATGCAACTCAGTTCAACAGGTGACTTTAAACGTATCAAAACAGAGAGAAAATTAGAGACGTGGCAGTCTGTTGTTTATTTAACGGACGTCACCTCTCTACACCATCAGCTAGTCGATCCTCTAACAGTCTTAATAAGAGATGAGGACCTGAAAGCGCTTGACCATAACAGTATTGATTATAAAGCATTTTTTTGCCCCTCAGCACTTGGACTTCAGTGTACCGACATGTTTTTGCACATTATACCATTTCAGTGAAAGCATTCAGTCGGTGTTCTGAACAAAAAGCCTTAGATAAATGAAAAGGACACATGCAAGACAGTGTTGATGAACAAAAGGCATGTTGTTTTTCCTTTCAGTCAGAGAGAAGTGAAGTGAACTCGTGAATCATGAATGTAAAAACGCTCTGCGGCTCTTCAGAATGAATGCTAAATTAAATTCTTCACTATTTAACAACTCAAATGCTCAAATCAGGCATGTCACCTTGTTTTCTGTATGATCTTATAAATTTGCACATCTATCTGTATATATATATATACTGTATGTATGTATTTGATATATAAACATAACATATTTTTTCTAAAATATATAGGCCTACATGCATGTGTACACACACATACTGTATTTTATGTAAACAAAAACTTTTTTTTAACACACACACAGTGGCTGTTCTGGTGAAAGTTAGCAAAAGTTTGCTCAAAAATGTTCTTATTGCCTGTAATATTGTTGCATTGTGTAGTATTTTCAATTTAGTTAAAAGCAGAAAAGTCACTTAATGCTGGAAACTTGAAGTGCCACACTTGATCTAGTTCCATGACATTAACAATTTTTCGATGAAGAATGATTTGATACAGTATTTGCAATTTTATCTGTTTCTTGTTAGGACTATCCTAAATGAAGCGACCAGGTGGTTTTTCCTTTCTCATATTACCTCCATTTCTCATGTACGTGCTGTAGAGCTCATATCAGTGATCTGAGTCGTATTAAACAGCACCTGAGGCTGGAGAGAGAGATCAGTGCTGAATCCATGAGAATCTGAGGCTCTCCGGGTTAATCTCAGGGGAAGATCACGATCAATATATGAGCACTCTGGTGTTCGGTCAAAGAATATCCTCCGAGAAATCGTCCTCTCGCTCTAATTGTAGCGCTCATAGGCATTCACCATCACTGCACTAGTGTTTAGGGATTAACTCAGGGTTTTTCTTTTAAAGGGTTAGTTCCCCCAAAAATGAAAATTAGGCTGCGTTTTACTCACCCCCAAGGCATCCTAGGTGTATATGACTTTCTTCTTTCAGACGAATCCAGTCGGAGTTATATTAAAAATTGTCTTTGATCTTTCAAGCTGTTTAATGCCACTCAGTGGGTGTTGCATTGCTTCAGTCCAAAAGAAGTGAAATAAAAATAGCCCATTCATAAAAACAAGTGTCTCACATGGCTCCGCGTTTTTGTAAGAAAAATATCCATATTCAAAACGTAATAATCACTTTAATGTAGCTTGCGCCA